TGGGGAGTGAACTAGCGAATGGAAGATTCTCTCTCTCTCCTCCTTTCTAACTCTTTCAAGTAAAAAAATAAATAAATAAATCTTTTAAAAAATAAAACAAATACTGGGGCCAGCACTGAGATGCAGCGGATTAAGCCCTGCCTACAATGCCACATCCAACAGCTCCCATATGGGTGCTGGTTCAAGTCCTACTCAGCTCCCTGCTAATGCACCTGGGAAAGCAGTGGAAGCTAACCAAAGTACTTGGGCCCTTGTCACCCACATGGGAGACCCAGATGGAGTTCCAGGCTCCTGGCTTTGGTCTGGGTGTGGCCATTTGGGGAGTGAACCAAGGGATAGAAGTTCTCTCTTTCTCTGTCTTTCCCTCTAACACTCTGCCTTTTAAATAAAATAAATCTTTAGAAAAAAAAAATAGGAAAAAAACAAGTAGCAGGGGCCAGCACTGTGGTACAGTGGGTGAAGAACTACCACTTGTGACACCAGCATACCACATCAATGTGTTGGTGTGCTGATATGAGTCAATGCTACTAGGCTTCCAATCCAGCTTCCTTCTAATGTGCCTGAGAAAGCAGTGAAAGACTTGGACCCTACTACCTATGGAGACCAGGATGGAGTTCCTGGCTCCTATAGTCCAGACCTCGCTGTCGCAACCATGGGGGAGTGAACCAGCAAATGGAGATCTCTTTCTGTCTCTGCCACTCTGCCTTTCAAATAAATAAATAAATCTTGAAGAAAAACACTAACAGCATCCCCCCAAAATCTGATGCTCTTTACTACATGCCAAAGAGAATATTTGCTACTATGAAGTTTTAAGTAATCAAGCAGCATGATTGAAAAGATTCACAAAAGAGGGAAGTAGAGATAAGATTTAAAATGCAGGCAGCCTTTGAGTTTTTTTAAGATCTCTGATTATCTCAAAGCACACAAATGACTATTTCAGGCCTCGATTCACTGAAGATTCCATGTCTAAGTGGAGGATGAAAAAGCTGTAACTAAAAGCAGCACATGGCCAAGGAGAATTAAGCACTTTTAGTGGAAGACAAGCTATTTATTAGAATATAAGCACCATTTTAAAAGACTGGGGAAGGAGTGAGCATTGGCCTAGTAGCTGAGGCCCCGGTGTTCCACATCAGAGTGCTTGGGTTCAATTCCTGGCTCTGGCTCCTGATTCTCAATGAAGACTCTGGGTAGCAGCAGTGATGGCTCAAGCAGGTGGGTTCCAGCCACACAATGGAAGATCTGGATTGAGTTCCTGGCTCCCAGCTTCAGTCCTGCTGGATGTTGTAGGCATCTGGGGAGTGAACCAGCAGATGCAAGCTCTCTAACACTGTCTCTCTGCCTCTCAAATATTTTAAACATATGCAATAAAAAAATTTAAAAAATAATAAAAAGACTGAGGCAGAGAGGCTATTTCGCTTAGCAGTTAAGATGCCCATGTCCTACACTGATGTACTTGGCTTCTACTCCCAGTTCAGGCTCCTGACTCCAGATTCCCACCAATGCTTGGAAGGTAGCAGTCATGGCTCAATTGAATGGGTTCCTGCCACCCACATGGGAGACCTGAACTGAATTCTGGGCCCTTGGCTTTGGCTGCTCTTCCCTGCCCCCAGCCATTGTGGGCATTTGGGAAGTGAACCAGTAGATGAGAGCTTTCGGTACCTTTCAATTAAAAATTTTAAAAAAGAAAAGGCTGAAAAGATCTTAGACTAAGTTAATAAATGCAGAAATTAAGGAGATGTTCCATGGCTCACACTAGAATACTTTGGGACAAGTTATATTAGAATAACAATAAGATTTTGAGGAAAAACTGACAGGAATATATTTCAGGCATGAAGAACAGCAGGAGGACAAATCTATTTGAATTGTGGTTCCATCATTTACTGGCTATGTAAAACTAGTAAAATGATGAAAGAATCTATCTCACATTCGAAGGACAAAAAAGATGTCATCTATTACTGTTTCCATCACTGGTTCATGTGAGGAATATTCGAAGGAACCATCAAAGGTATAGCTTCAAAACTGGGGGAAGGCATTAAATGGCTAATGGACTGTGGAAAGAGGAGAAATTATACATCTCTGCTAGACGACAACAAAGAATCAGAACGTATGCCATCTAGAAAATAGGGAGCTGAGAATATATGTAAAATATATAGTTGCTGAAATTCTTTTAAAAATGAATATAAACCATAAAACACAAGTTACCTGTAGAAGGAGGAAGGGGAGAGGGACAGAAGCTAAGCTTTCTGTATGTAACGTTAATCTGTGCACTGCACTTTGGAATCATATAGTTCTTACAACTACAAAACAGGGGCACAACAGGTCAAGTTACTCTTGTGATGCTAGCATCCCGTATTGGAAATTTGGGGTTAAGCCCACTTTAAGTCCCAGCTGCTCTGTTTCAATTCAGCCCCCTGTTAATGTGCCTCAGAAAGCAGCCAATGATGGCCCAAGTACTTGGGCCCCCATTATCTATATGGGAAGTCAGGATGGAGTTCCTAGTTCCTGGCTTTGGCTTGGCCTAGCCTGGTCCAGTCTAGCTGTTGGAGCCATTTGGGGAGTTGACCAATGGATAGAAGCTCGCTCTCATCTCTTTCTGTGGCTCTGCCTTTATTCAGTGAAAATAAATCGTTAAAAAATAAACAAAACTATAAAACAGGGTAGGCCTTTGGCACAGTGGTTAAGACACTACTGAGAACAACCACACCCCTTAGTGGGTTTGAGTCCTGGCTCCATTTCTGATTCCAGCTTCCTGCTAATGTGCACTCTGAAAAGCAGTAGATGTGGGGCTGGTGCTGTGGCACAGGGAGTAAAGCAGCAGCCTACAGTGCCAGCATCCCATATGGGTGCTGGTTCGAGTCCAGGCTGCTCCATTTCTGATTCAATTCTCTGCTATGGCATGGGAAAGCAGTACAAGAAAGCTCAAGCCCCTGCACGCACATGCGAGACCCAGAAAAAGTTCCTGGCTCCTGGCTTCAGACTGGCCCAGCTCTGGCTGTTGAGGCCATTTGGGGAGTGAATCAGCAGATGGAAGACTTCTCTCTCCCTGCCTCTGCCTCTCTGTAATTCTGCCTTTCAAGTAAATAAATAAATCTTTAAAAAAAAAAAAAAAAGGCAATAGATGATGGCTCAAAGACTCTGATCTCTGCCATCCATGTAGGAGATCCAGGACTGAGGTCCAGGCTCCTGTCTTGAACTTGGCCCAGTTCCAACTGTTGCAGGCATTTGACAAGGGAATTGGCAGATGGAAAATCACTGTCTCTTTCAAATAAACAAATAAAAAAATTTTTTTTAATTTACAAAACAAAAAACTTTAAAAGTAATTCTTTAACATTGAAAAGAAAATGAAACAAACTGGGATATGAATTTAGTTATGGTATAACTGTAGGAAAAAACTTACAGTAACTCTAAAACAGTAATTTGACTATAATAGTAAAAGTAGTTAACAAGAATAGTCAGTGCAAAAAATGTCTGCATGCACATTTTTTTTCCACTTAATCTTAACAACACACCTGTGAAATTGTATTAGTCTTATAGAGGAAGAGACTGTGGCTCTCAGAAAGCTAAATAACTAGTCAAGGTCACATCAGTGAGGAGCAGTGTAGAACTGTAACCCAGCTCTCCTGACAGTCAATCCCTCACTTTGCCTAGTGAACTAAATCTCTGTCTTGAAATTCCCACCTTTGTTTCTCTTTTTATGATGTATTTAACTATTTGATAGACAGGGGTGGGGTCGGGGGGAAGGCTGTCCATTTGCTGGTTCACTTCCCAAATGCTGCAACAACTGGGGCTGGGTCAGGCTAAATCCAAGGGCCTGGAACTCCATCTGGGTCTCCCACACCGGGGTCCTTGGGCCATCTTCCGTTGCTTTCCCAGGCACATTAGCAGGGAGCTGGACCACAAGTGGAACAGCCAGGACTTCAACTGGCGCTCATATGCGAAACAGATGTCACAGAAGGCCTCTTAACCCGCTGCACCGCAACACTGGCCTCGTTCTCTTTCTTGGGTTCCCTACCTTCATAACTCCGCCTAGTGACAGCCTTCTGATTCTCAAGGGCCCAGCTCAAATGTCTTCTGTGCGGTAAAATCAAAGCAAGGAGCTTTGAAGGAATTTGCTTTTTATTTAACTGAGAGCCAAGATGCAGGATGGAAATGATTTCTTCTCTTTATACTCAATTTTCTTTGGTGCATTTTTATTACCGTGTTCAAAAGAGCTTTTAGGTAATCAAGTGAATTACTAGTGCTGTTTGCCTTTCATATAAACATATGGAAAAGCCTAAGTGTTTTATAGGCTGTAAAATCTAAAGAGCTGTAAGGCGATAGTGAAAGCTGATAAACGAGAAGAACTTTTTCAACATAACCACATTGGTTTTTGGTGGGCAGAAATGACCATCTATAGGTATGTAAATCATTCTTGCTTCCTGATGTGGAAATATAAGATACATTAAGTTACTTCAAAAATAATCTTTTGTTAACTTATGATTTCTTTTAAAAACTAAAATCCTTCACCCCAGTGTAACCATTTTTTTTTTTAAGATTTGTTTGTTTATTTGCAAGTCAAGAGTTACAGAAAGAGGAAGAGACAGACAGACAAAGATCTTCCATTCACTGGCTAATCCCCAAGAAGGCCACAACAGCCAGGGCTGGGGCAGGCCAAAGCCAGGAACCAGGAGCTTCTTCCAGGTCTTCCACATGGGTGCAGGGGACCAAGCATTTGGGCCATCTTCTACTGCTTTCCCAGGCCATAGCAGAGAGCAGGGTTGCAAGCAGAGCAGCTGAGACACGAACAGGTGCCCACATGGGATGCTGGTGTCACAGGCAGTGGCTTTACCTGCTATGCCACAATGCTGGCCCCAGGATAACCATTTTACATTTTAAAATCAGGAACACATCTCTGTCTATGCGGAACTATTCCTTACCTTCTAAGTTACATCACTAACATGTAATTTACAAAGGGATAAAATACTGATTTCTCCACATCTTAGACTGGACTTCAGAAGTACCTGGTTAGTATTTTTGACCGGCATGTAGTCCTCATCTTCCTTCTCTTCAGAGCAGTGTCGGGTTTTCTTCTTGTGTTTTTTACTGGTGTGTGAGTGACTGGACTTTGAGTCTTCTGCCTCCTCATCTAGGATTAGATCGTATTTTGCACTGCGGCAGTTAGTTAAGGACAAATAGGATAAATGACATGGGTAAGACACCACCACCTACAAATATGGTAATCAAAGGAAGCCAAAAGGCTAAAGGTAATTTTTTTAAAGCAAAAGAATCTCAAAAGCACATAATACACTTCTAAAATAAAAATAACATTTTTTTCATTTTATAGTCAGGAAAAATCAAAAGAACTGTGATCTTAAACGGTTAACAACTAGTAGGCAAAGTTTGGGGGAGAAAATAAAACTGCATCCCAAGTGAAAATACAAGTAGCATAAAAAATAAGGAAACTTGTCAATTATGAAAAAATGAAATTTAGAAAATGAGGCACATCTTTAAAACTAATATACTATAAACCCGAATTCCAGAAAAGCTATATAAAATAAACACATGCATACAACTGTTCTTTTAATTCAATCCTAATTCTTTTAATTCAATACTAAAAGAAAAAAATTCAGCAATGCATATGATTCTAACAGAAATTTATTAAAAAAGTAGTAAGTTTAACAAGAGAAATTATAGTACTAAGTTAAACAAAAGAAAATAAACCTAACAGGATTTTTTTTAAGATTTAATCAGGATGGTCCAAGTGCTTGGGCCCCTGCACCCGCATGGGAGACCAGGAGGAAGCGCCCGGCTCCTGGCTTTGGATCGGCGGAGCACATCAGCCGTAGCGGCCATTTTGGGGGTGAACCAATGGAAGGAGGACCTTTCTGTCTGTCTCTCTAACTCTGCCTGTCAAAAAAAAAAAAAAAGAAAGAAAAATATTTGATCATTTATTTGAAAGGCAAAGTTACAGAGAGAAAGGAGGAGAGGGGGAGTCAGAGAGAAAGATCTTCCATCCATTGGTTCATTTCCCAAATTGCCTCAACAGCTGGAGCTGAACCAATCAGAAGCCAGGAGCCAGGACCTTCTTCTAAGTCTCCCATATGGGTGCAGGGGCCCAAGGACTTGGGCCATCTTTTGCTATTTTCCCAGGCACAGTAGCAGGGAGCTGGATTGTCAGTAGAGCAGTTAAGATTCGAACAGGTACCCATATGGGATGCTGGCACTCAGACAGCGTCTTAACCCATTACGCCACAGAGCAGGCCCCTAGGACTATTTTTTAAAATAAGAAAGTTGAACAACAGAATATCTAGTAATAAAGATAAAACTTGCTTCAACATAATGCAATACACAGGCAATTATTAAAAATAATAAATGCCATGCGGGCTGGCACTGTGGCACTGCCTGCAGTCCCAGCATCCCATATGAATGCCACTTTGTGTGCTGGCTCCTCTTCTGATCCAGCTCTCTGCTGTGGCCTGGGAAAGCAGTAGAAAATGGCCACTGCTTGGGCCCCTGCACCCATGTGGGAGACCTGGAAGAAGCTTCTGGCTCCTGGCTTTGAATCAGCCTAGCTCTAGCCGTTGCAGCCATTTGGGAAGTAAACCAGAGGAAGTAACCCTTTTTCTCTGTCTCTCCCTCTCTCTGACTATAACTCTACCTCCCAAATAAATATAATCTTTAAGAAAAAAAAAAAGCTATCAAAAGAACCTGGAAATGTGTCTATGGAAACTGAAGGTGAAAAGATTGAAGTAAAAACTGTATATATGAGTACCATATAGTGATTATAACTTTATTGAAAAAAAAGATTTGAAAGAAATAGTAGGTATCATTTGTCGAGGTGACAGAACTATAAGTGAACCTTTTCTAAATTTTGCATAATAAACATTTTTAAAGTATTTTAACTCAGAGATCACTATATACCTTAGAATTAAGAAAAAATATTAGGGCTGGTATTGGGGCCTAGTGGGTTAAGCTACCGCATGTGATGGCAGAATCCCACAGGGGCACCAGTTCAAGTCCCTGCTGTTCCACTTCCAATCCAGCTCCCTGCTAATGCATCTGGGAAAGTAGCAGAAGATGGCCTAAGGACTTGGGCCCTGCCACCAATCTCGGAGACGTGGATAGAGTTCCAGGACCTGGTTTCAGCTTGGGCCAGCCCTGGCAATTGTGCCTCCTCCCCCATTTTTGAATTGCAGCTTTAATTCCAGTTCTTTCAGTACTATATGAGAGTATTTCCTGATCCTTGACCCCTACTGTAACCCCTATGTCCCACAAATGTCCTTCTTTGAAATACTCCAGAGACATTTAATTAATGCTAATTATTCAACATATGTCCTTCCCCCACTCCTAGAAAAAAAGCTTCCTGTGGGCAGGCACTGAGCATCTTTCACTGCCATCTCTAACTCTGCCTTTCAAAGTAAATAAACAAATCTTTTAAAAAAGAGAGAAAAACACAAAATTATCCTAACCTCTGCTGAAAAATCTCAAACACTAAAATGGATTTCTGAGAAAGGCTGACTTGGGCTAGAACAGTGGTTTTCTAAAGAAAGCCCAACATGTGGCACTATTTTAGCCGCATGTGAGAGTGGAGAAAACACAGACACCACTTCCCTCAGGACTCGTGTCCAACGTCTCTCTCCATTGCCACGGCTCAAGGCTTTCCTCAGCATGCCTTTTTTATTTTTTAAGATTTATGTTATTTATTTGAAAGACAGAGTTATAGAGAGAGGTAGAGACAGAGAGAGAGAAGTCTTCCATGTGCTGGTTCACTCCCCAAAAGGCCACAACAGTCTGAGTTGAGCCAATCTGAAGCCAGGAGTCAGGGGATAGGAGCCAGGAGCTTCCTCTGGGTCTCCCACACAGGTGGCAGAGCCCCAAAGACTTGAGTCATCTTCTACTGCCTTCCCAGGCCATAGAGAGAGCTGGATTGGAAGTGGAGCAGTTGAGTCTCAAACTGGCACCCCTATGGGATGCCAGCACTGCAGGCTGGGGCTTTAACCCACTGCACCACAGCGCTGGCCCCAGGACATCTGACTTCTAAGATCAAAGAAAACATCATTCCTTGTGGCTTTCTAAGATGCCTGAAGATGGCTCATCAATCTGTACCATCCTGTTAGTCTGCTGCCTACTTCTTCTGTCCTTTCTACTGCTCTTCAAGATAAATTCAACAGGTCTTGCCTGTGCTGTCATCTCTGTGTATGCTTTACACATGTTGCTCTCTGTCCAAAATGCTTTACAGCTGTGTGCTTCAAAATAGTGATCACAATCCATCAAGGGGGTGCAAAATCCATGTAATATAGTGGGTTACAACCAGAATTTTTTTTGTAGTAAGACAGTGCAAGGCACCCCATAAAAATATGATCTTATGAAATTTTTGTTCCAGTCAATTTTATACTATGTACTGGATTAAGATATAAACTTTATTTCTTAAATGATAAGTCACAGTTAAAAAAAAAAAAAAAACAGCTAGGGGCCAGCGCTGTGGCATATTGGGTAAAGCCGCCACCTGCAGTGCCAGAATCCCATATGGGCACCAGTTCGAGACCTGGCTGCTCCACTTCCCACCCAGCTCTCTGCTTACAGCCTGGGAAAGCGGTGGAGGATGGCCCTAGTACTTGGACCCCTGCACCTGCATGGGAGACCTGAAAGAAGCTCCTAGCTCCTGGCTTCAGATCAGCCGACGCAGCTTCGGCCATTGTGGCCATTTGGTGAGTGAACCAGCAGATGGAAGATTTCTCTCTGCCACTGCCTTTCAAATAAATAAATAAATCTTCAAAAAAGAAAAACAGCTTCCGGCCGGTGCCATGGCTCACTGGGCTAATCCTCCGCCAGCGGCACCAGTACTCTGGGTTCTAGTCCTAGTTGGGGCATCTGTTCTGTCCCAGTTGCTCCTCTTCCAGGCCAGCTCTCTGCTGTGGCCCAGGAAGGCAGTGGAGGATGGCCCAAGGGCTTGGGACCTGCACCCGCATGGGAGACCAGGAGGGGGCACCTGGCTCCTGGCTTCAGATCGGTGCAGTGTCCCGGCTGTGGCGGCCATTTTGGAGGTGAACCAACAAAGGAAGACCTTTCTGTCTGTCTCTCTAACTCTGCCTGTCAAAAAAAAAAAAATAGCTTCCAACCTCAGCCACCTTCTCCCCCCCCATATTTGAACTGCAGCTTTAATATCACTTCTATTAGTGCTATATGAGCGTATTTCCTAACTCTTAACCCCTATTGTAACTCCTACGTCCCACAAATGTACTTCTTTGTAGTACTCTAGAAATACTTAATTAATGGTGACTATTCAACATTTGTCCTTCCCTCTCTCGAGGAATAAAAGCGCCATGTGGGCAGGAACCGAGCATCTTTCACTGCTGAACTGCATATGCAAATACCTGTTGGTTATTGTACCACCTTCCATGCTTATCTATCTTCTACTGACCAATACAGTCAACACTTTCAGAAGATGTCAAATTCCTCCAAAATCCTTCACACAAAATACAAATGTATGATCTCAGCTTTGTTCCTGCAATTTCCTTCCCTAGATCTAGTCGGGCCAGTTAAACTTCCTTCTCTTACTTCCACTTTTGATCCTTTTTTAAATTCACATTTACAGTAATTATTCTTTCTCTCACGGCACATAAAGTATACCTGCCAGGCCCTTTTAACTGACTTAAGGCAACGTATCTGCACTTAGATTACCCTCTATACGCCCCCCTTCCCTCACTGTATGTAACAAAGTAACAATATATAATATGAACATAAGAAAGTATGCATCTTACCTATTATAAATATGTATTCCATCCCTCTACTATTCACCTAAAATCATAAATACCTCACTAAAATGAAACCTATCAAATACTAAGGACTTAAAAACTGTCTTACTGGGTCGCATGCATGAAGTTTCTCTTTCAAGTTTAATATCCTGTTAATCAGTAAGAGTTATTCACAATGGTTTGGCACCAGAACATGTCTGTCTTCTACATCAACTCCAAATGCCTAGAAGCAGCCTTGTTCACGACTAGGCTAAGTGGTTGTTTAACTGAAATAAACAAAATTTTAAATTCAGTTCCTCAGTCCATCTCAAATGCTTGACAGTCACAGGTGGGATGGGCATTTGGTCTAAGCTGTCTGTTGAGACACCTGCATCCTGTATCAGAGTGCCTGGGTTCAAGTCCCAGCTCCACTCCTGATTCTATCTTCATGCTAATGTAACCCAGTAATGTCTCAATTAATTGGTTCTCTGGCACCCACGTGGGAGATCCACATTGAGTTTCCAGCTCCTGGCTTCAGCCTGGCCTAGCCCTAGCTGTTGAGGGCATTTGAGAAGGGAACCAGTTGATGGGAGGTCTCTGCTTCTACCTTTCAAATAAAATACATTTAAAACAAATTTTTAAAAATTAAACACTTTTGGGCCAGTGCTGTAGCATAGCGAGTTAAAAGCCCTAGCCTGCAGTGCCGTCATCTCACATGGGCACCAGTTGGAGTCCCAGCTGCTCCACTTCTGATCCAGCTCCCTGCTAATGCACCTGGGAAAGCAGCAGAGGATGGCTCAAGTCCTTGGGCCCCTGCACCCACATGGGAGACCAGGAAGAAACTCCTGGCTCCTGGTTTCAGATCGGCTCAGCTCCAGCCACTGTGGCCATTTGGGGAGTAAACCAATGGATGGAACACCTCTCTCTCTCTCTCTGTCTCTACCAATCTCTGTAGCTTTGTCTTTCAAATAAATACCATAAATCTTAAAAAAGAAAAATTAAACATTTCAAAAGCAGCCAGGGCCAGCACTGTGGCACAGTGGGTTAAAGCCCTGGCCTGAAGCGCCGGCATCCCATATGGGTGCCAGTTCTAGTACCGGCTGCTCCTCTTCCCATCCAGCTCTCTGCTATGGCCTGGGACAGTAGTGGAGGATGGCCCAAGTGCTTGGGCCCCTGCACCCATGAGGGAGACCCGGAAGAAGCTCCTGGCTCCTGACTTCGGATCAGCGCAGCTCCGGCCTTTATAGCCATCTGGGGAGTGAACCAGCAGATGGAAGACCCCCCCCTCCCTCTTCCTCTCTCCCTCACTCTCTCTCTCTCTCTCTCTAACTCTGTCTTTCAAATAAATAAAATAAATCTAAAAAAAAAAAAAAAAAAAAAGCCACACATGCTTAGAAGTCATCCAGGACAGTGGGGATGTAGTAAGTACATTTCCATCATTGCAGAAAGTTCTAGTAAAGACTACCAGGGAGATCTATTCTCAAACATGCCTATTTTCCTCTTCACTCTCAGTATGAATCTATCTCCTTGAATCCAGGGCACTTTAACACTGAGTAGTCCTTCTTTTCAACTGAACCACCCCTTCAGGGAAAATGTAGCTTTCCTATGTGCTTGGCAGCTCTCCTCTACTTTAGTTATCCTACATGTTCCCCTTCTTCCAGAAGGGGAATTATGAGAGGCTAACCTAAACTTAGTTTCAAAGATATGGTAAATAAACCTCAAGTTACCCTATCTACACTGTCACGAGTTTGAACTTTGCATCACCTGCCCTCCTACACTGGTCTTTTCAGATCCTATCTCAGCCTCTGGTTTGGCCTGCCTGGGTAGGAAAGCCTCTCCTGTGCCGCTTTAGTCAGTCTCCTGCAGGCTTTGTCAAGCTCTAACACCTTGTAATGCTCCAGGCATTGCAGACAGTCAACACATTTTACAACACGTAACAGGTCAAACTGATACTCATCTTCTCTTGATGAATACCTGAAGGAGCAATGTCTACACAGCATGGGAAAGAGAATCACTGAAACACCACCAGAAATTGGGAAACAAAGATGCCATTTACCAGAAAGAATCACAAAAGAAATAACCTTAGCAATGTGAGGAGTGATCAATTTATAATGGGGAAAATCAGTGAACAAATTAAAATGACATAATAGGAGCAGTATGTTTCACTGCTTTTTACTTGTCTCAACCTAAATCTTGGAAGAAATTGAATTAAATGGTCAAATCAATGGACTTCTCTTAAATCCTATAAAAGTCAGCTCTTAGGAGTCCAATACTTGCTAAAGTGACAGTATATTATATCTCATATAGAAAAAAGCAACCTTATCTTGTAACACAAAAACTATAGTATATTATTATCTAGATAAGAAAGTTAAACATAAGAGAATGGTAAGCACAAATGATTTAGCTTGGTTATATTTTTGATTATGAAGAATTAAAACATTACAATTATCTAAAGAAAATATAAATCTTACCTTTAGGTCTTCTGAAAATATAAGCAGGAAAGCACTTAACAACAGTAGGAATGTAAAGGAATTAGGCTTACTATTTCCTTCAACCCTAACTCTCTCCATATAATAGAGTATAATGACAGAGCAAAGCATATGTAAGATGCTGAAAAGAAATGATCATAACCTGGACCAGAACCTTGTCTCCCAGGGCCCGTTACATGGCGCTCAACGCACAGTGGATGCTTGAAACACACTGACAGATTCTTGTTAAGGATACTCCTGTTTGGGTTTTACTTTATCTTTCAGGACCAAATTAGAGCGTTTATCCTGTTCCTTTTCATACTCCTTGAAATCACTCTTAGTGTATTTCCCACCTAATAAGAAAAGAGAAAGAAAAGTTAAGAACAGTAAGTATTTTATAAAAGATGAACTCCTTTATAAATTGTATGTATCAAGAGACAAAAAAGGTAAGAGGAGAACACAAGAATCATAGTAATTCAATCTCTATGACAATTTTAACTTAAGTCAGATACACGTTTTGTTAGGTAGCCTTATGCTGCCATCTAATGATACATATGAATATTACAACAGCAAACTTTAAAATAAATTACATGCAAATAATTCAGTATGAGTACAGCTATTATGTCCATGATAACACTAAGTTCAGTGGAAATATTGAAGATTTGGGAACTGAGTTTGAAACCTCAAAGACTTCCAAGTTTGGGAGAAGTGAGGCTTTTTTTTTTTTTTTTTTTCTAAAGATTTTATTTATTTGAGACAGAGTTACAGAGAGAGGGAGAGACAGAGAAAAAGGTCTTCCATCCTTTGGTTCACTCCCCAAATGGCCGTAATGGCTAGAGCTGAGCCGATCCACGGCCAGGAGCCAGGAGCTTCTGCCAGTCTCCCATGTGGGCACAGGGGCCCAAGCACTTGGGCCATCTTTCACTGCTTTCCCAGGCCATAAGTAGAGAGCTGGATTGGAAGAGGAGCAGCCAGAACATGAGCCGGCACCTATGTGGGATACCAGCTCTGCAGGCGGAGGCTTGTCCTACTACACCACAGGGCTGGCCCCAGATGTGAGGCTCTATAGACTCTGACATTCTCTCACCAGAGCACCATGCAGATAGGAGACTGCAGATGCATGTAGAGAGGAGTTGGTGACAGTACCAAAGACAAACTGTCTCTGCTTTGAAATCCTGGCTTATTGGCAGTTACATCCCTTCCATGTGCCCAAACTGTAATTACCAGTACCTTCCAGAAAACAGGACTAGTGTTACATCCTCACTAGCCAATCATGCAGAGCCAAAAGGCAGGGCACTGTACAGTCCCTCTGCTCTCCAGTCTGCTCTCCTGCCAGATGAGGGTAATACTTCTTCCATGGACCAGAGCTGCTGTCTGCCTTTCCTACTGCACTCCGCTACCACTAGAATGACTCCTGTGGGAACTTTTCCTACTGAAGGGTCCTGGATTAGGGTACAAGTAAAGCGAACTGAAGGTACACAGAGAGATTCTCTGCTTATCAATCCTAATAGACCCTAAATGTCAGGTTTTTAAAGAAGAAAGAAAAAGGAATGAAAAAAGAGGGTTAACTATTAAAGATAAGATGAACCTAAAGGGGCAGATGGTGTGGCATAGTGGGTAAAGCCACCACCTGCAGTGCCGGCATCTTCTACGGGCACCAATTCGAGTCTCAGCTGCTCCACTTCCAATCCAGCTCTCTGCTATGGCCTGGGAAAGCAGTAGAAGATGGTTCAAGTCTTTGGGCCCCTACACCTGCATGGGAGACCCGGAAGAAGCTTCTGGCTCCTGGCTTCAGATTGCAGCCAACTGGGGAGCGAACCAGTGGATGTAAGACTTCTCTCTCTCTCTCTCTCTCTATCTGCCTCTCATTCTCTCTCTGACCTTAAAATAAATAAATAAATCTTTAAAAAAAAAAAAAAAAAGATGAACCCACTGGACAATTCCAGAGGCAGCAGTTTTCATATAAATGCTGAAGAGACTACTTCAAGACATAAAGTAACTGATGACAGTAACAAGCAAGGATCATTTCTTTTTTTGAAAGATTTATTTATTTGAAAGTCAGAGTTACACAGAGAGAGGAGAGGCAGAGAGAGAGAAAGGTCTTCCATCCAGTGATTCATTCCCCAGTTGGGGGCAAAAGCCACAGCTGCACCAAGCTGAAGCCAGGAACCAGGAGTTTCTTCTGGGTCTCCTACTTGGATGCAGGGGCCCAAGGATTTGGGCCATCCTCTACTGCTTTCCCAGGCCATAGCAGAGAGCTGGGTCAGAAGTGGAGCAGCTGGGTCTTGAACTGGCGCCCATATGGGATGCCAGCACTTCAAGCCAGGGCATTAACCCGCTGCGCCACAGCGCTGGCCATGCATCATTTTATCACTGGAAAATGATGTGCCATGAGCCTGACAGCACGTGTTCCCTATGGATGAGGCAGAAATGGTACAATAGAAAGGCCACTGACTGAAGTGGGAGACTATACATTCAAATAGACTACTGGCAGGTCCTAGGTTAGATGCTTCACTCCTCTGCAACTCACTGCCTTCGTGTGTAAACTGAAAGCTGAAAACAAACCAGTAAATGAAAGATCACTGCCTCTGCCTGTCTTTTTCTCTCTGCCTTTCAAATAAATAACAAATAAATATATTTTTAAAAAGAGGGGCCAGGGCTGGCTCTGTGGCATAGTGGTCTAGGCCTCCGCCTGGGGCATAAGAATCCCATATGGGCACCAGTTCAAGTCCTGGCTGCTCCTCTTCCAATCCAGCTCTCTGCTATGGTCTGGGAAAGCAGTAGAAGATGGCCCAGGTCTCTGGGCCCCTGGCCTCGGATCAGCTCAGCTCAACTCAGCTCCTGCCACTGCGGCCATCTGGGGAGTGAACCAGTGAATGGAAGACCTTTCTCTCTGTCTCTCTGCCTCTCAAATAAATAAATAAAAATCTTTATAAAAAAATTACAAAATTAAAAAAAGAAGAGGGGACCAGCATTACGGCACAGTCAGTTAAGCCAACACCTGCGATACCAGCATCCCAAATGGGCACCAGTTCACGTCACAGCTACTACACTGCCAATACACCTCCCTACTAATGGCATGGGAAAAGTACAAGATGGTCCAAGTGTCTGGGAAACCTACATGAAGCTCCTGTTTCCTGGCTTCTGCCTGACCCAGCATTGGCCATTGCAGCCATTTGGCAAGTAAACCAGCAGATGGAAGATTTGTTTCTCTCTGTAACTCTGACTTTCAAAATAAATAAATAGATCTTTAAAAAATTCACTTAAGGCTGGTGCCGCGGCTCAATAGGCTAATCCTCCGCCTAGCGGCGCCGGCACACCCGGTTCTAGTCCCAGTTGGGGCGCCGGTTCTGTCCCGGTTGCTCCTCTTCCAGTCTAGCTCTCTGCTGTGGCCTGGGAAGGCAGTGGTGGATGGCCCAAGTGCTTGGGCCCTGCATCCGCATGGGAGACCAGGAGAAGCACCTGGCTTCTGGCTTCAGATTGGCGCAGCGCGCTGGCCAGAACGGCTATTTGGGGGGTGAACCAACAGAAGGAAGACCTTTCTCTCTGTCTCTCTCTCTCATTGTCTAACTCTGCCTGTCAAAAAAACAAACAAACAAACAAACAAAAACAAACAAAACTAGTCATGGGTTCTGACTGCCAGGATGGTTTCATGGGAGAAACTAATAGTAGGTAGAATCTCAATCCAATGTGCTCTCTTCTACTGGAGATCACTCCTAGAAGACCTTCTGTATCTGTCTGCGCCAGTCATTAATAATTTCTTTCCCTATATTCCCATAAAATAACATAATCTATGAAACAATTCAATACATCACTGCCAGTATTCTCTGTTATCTTATTAGAAGGCAGGAGGAAGCCTAGTAGTTAAGATGCCAGTGGGGAGTGGGGGCCAGCACTGTGGCTCTGCCTGCCTACAACAGCACTAACATCCCATGTGGGCATAGGTTCATGTCCCACTGCTCCTCTTCTGATCCAGCTCTCTATTTATGGCCTGGGAAAGCAATGGAAGATGGCCCAAGTGCTTAGGCCCCTATACCCAAGTGGGATACCCAGAAGAGGTTCCTGGCTCTGGATCAGCCCAGCTCCAGGCACTGCAGCCATTTGGGGAATGAACCAGAGGATGGAAGACCTCTCTGTGTCTCTCCCTCTCTCTGTAACTCTGCCTCTCAAAAAAATAAATCTTAAAAAAAAAAAAAAAAAAGCCACTGGGGATGCCATATTTCATACTGGAGTGCCCAGGTGGCAGTCCCAGCTCTGCTTGATTCTGGTTTCTTGCTCATGCACACCCTGGAAGGTAGCAGGTAACAGCTCAAGTACATGGGTCTATGCCTCTCATCTAAGAGGCCCAGACTGAGTTCCAAATTCTTGACTTTGGCATGGCCCAACCCCAGCTATTGCAGACATTTGGGGAGTGAATCAGTAAATCAATCTTTCTCTCATTATCTCTGTCTCCCTCACACTGTTTATAATTAAACAAAAACACAGAAATAAAAGTGTTATTATATAAATTAAAATCACGGAAAATAAACAAAAGCATTATAGGGGAAGAAAGTGATCATAAAATTCCTGATAAAATTCAGCGTTACATGTGATGTAAAACCTTTTAAAAACACTGCAAAAAAAAAAAAAAAAAACTGCATCACAAATTTAACTTTTTGGCATGTCACTACCAGGAATTTGACAATCATATATGCAATTGTAGGAATTATCATAAATACAGGCATATTACATAGCATTAGGTACAAAGGACACAAAGAGTAAAAGATTAAAAACACCTGAGTGTTCATTAGTAGAACTGGTTCAATAGTTTTGGAATGTACCATATGACATACAAAACAAAAACTTTTTTAAAAAGCCATAAAGTCATAGTAATTACTTTGGAAAAACTTTACTTCTGCAGTGAATAAATTATGTAACAAATATTTTTCATCTGCTTAAAATATACAACATACACACTCCCCCTACCTTAGATTTCAGATAGCAGCTTTGTAAAACCATCAGTGTCAGGAATTACATCAATTAACATTTCTCCTAATTAATAGCACCAAGTAAAGGCTACATACACAAGAATACAAAGCAGAACTGCAATAAGGGAATATAAACCAACATACCCTTTCCTTTCCACTTAACCTTTGCAACAGACTGGCTAAAATCCACGTGTATTCTTCTGTCATCTATAAGTACATTGTCCATTTTAAAGAACGCTTTCTCACAATCTTCTTCCTGATAGTAATGATAAAAACTCATGCATAAATCTTTATGAAAAAGATTTCTATAAGCTAGAATACAGGAAAAAAAGTATTACTGTTACTAAAATTAATATTTATTTATACATCACATGCTGTTAAATGCTTCATATCTATTATCTCAATTAACCCTGGTAACAATCCTATGCGCTACTATTTATTATTATTTCTATTTTGTCAATGAGAAAAATATTGAGAGTTGTCTAAGTTGCTGAAGGTCACAAAGTTGACAAGAGTCATAGGCAGGATTCTGAATCAGGTCAGTCTGAAGGCAGCAGACATACACACTGACTGCATGATGTGAGTCCACAGTTCTTTTAACTTAGAACCTAAAAATATCCTGAAGAATGAAAGCAGTTTTCATAAATCTGGTATCAAAATCAATTTGGCAGCAATACCTGACCTAATGGGAAGCTATGGCCTCCCCCCACCATGCATGAATATTCACTCATTCATTTCACTGCAGAAATATTTGTGTGACTGATTAGAGAATGCTGAACCAGGAGTATTAAATAGTTTTTAGATATAATGTGTAGATTACATACACATATCAACATACAAAATACTATCTTTTTAAATTCTGAAAAATTCTGGACCCAAGACTAGGTGGAGCAGGTTAAGTCACTGCTCACAATACCAGCATCCCGTATCAGACCAACCGTTTGCATTGAGTTCTGGCTGCTCTGCTTCTGATCCAGATCCCTGCTCATGCTCCTGGGAAAGCAGCAGATAGCCAAAGTACCTGGGCCCGTGTCACCCAAGTGACAGACCCAGATGGAATTCCAGGCTCCTGGCTTCGGTGTGCCCCAGCCCTGGTCATTGCAGCCATTTGAGGAGTGAACCAGTAGATGGAAGATTTCTTTCTTTGTCTCTCCCTTTCTCTTGTCACTCTGCCTTTCAAATAAATAAAATGAATCTCTCCCCCAAAAATTCTGTAAAATTTGAAATCAGGAAGCACAACCATTGTGCATAATGGGTGTGGGCCTGTGACACTAAATTCTTTGCTATGCAAATACCCTTCCAGTGAGAAACTTCATAAATTCCTTTTTGTGAATGTATATGTGTATGTGTATATGTTAATTTTTCTTTAAATTTATTCAAGAGGCAGAGAGAAACCAATAGAAAGCAGGAAAACAAGAGAGAGAGCTCCCATCTCTTGGTTCAATCCCTAAATGTCCCCAAAAGCCAGGACTGAGTTGGACTAAAGCTGGAAACCAGAAACTCAATCCAGGTTTCCCACAAGGTGGCAAGGACCTAACTACTTAAGTCATCACTTGCTGCCCCTCAGAGTCTACAGCTACTATATGCTGGAATCAGGTGCCAGTGTCAAGAATTGAACCCTGACACTCTGATATGGGATACAGGTATTGCTAGGCCAAATGCCTGTTCCTTTAAAAAGATTTTTTTTATTAACATGTAATACTCGCAAATTTTTTACAGGGTATTGTACAATATTTCAACACATACACATACTATAAACTGATCAAACTAGGCAATTAGCCTTTGTATTTACTTATCTACTCTGGATTAGGAACCTACCAGCAACTCTCTTTGGTCGTTTATCCAGTATCTCTTACCTAGCCAGTGAGCTACAGTCACCCCACTGTGCTGTGTGTGAAACACTAGAGCTTGTTACTTCTATCTGGCTGTGTTTTAGTACCCTTCCTCCTACCCTTCTCAGCCTCTAATAATCATCATTTTAAATTCAGATCAACAACTTCTTTAAATTTCCACATGTGCAAGAGAAAACAGTATTTGTCTTTCTCTGGCTTATTTCACTTAACCTCCAGCTCATCCAGTTTGCTGCAAAATCAAGATTTCATTATTTTTATGGCTGAATAATACTCCATTTTATATTTGTATCTATAACCTATACACACCATGTTTTCTTTATCCATTAATCCATCGTCTTTTCCATATCTTGGTTATTGTGAACTGGGCCACAATAAACATGGTGGTGCAAGGATGGCTTTCACATGCTGATTTCATTTTCTTCAGATATATACCAGAATTAGGATGGCTGAGTCATACATATAGATCTATTAACAATATTTTGAAGACCCAATAGTATCTAAGAGTTCCCTTTTCTCCACATCATTGTCAGCATGTTATTTTTTGTCAATTATTAAAAAAAGGTGCATTTATTTACTTGAAAGGCAGAGTTATAGAGAGAGAGGAAGATACAGAGAGATTTTCCATCCACTGGTTCACTCCCAAAATTGTCACAATGGCCAGAGCTGGGCCAATCTGAAACCAGGAGCCAGAAGCTTCTTCAGGTCTCCCACATGGGTGCAAGAGATCAGGCACTTGGGCCATTTTTCACTGCTTTCCCAGGCACATTAGCAGGGAGTTGGATTGAAAGTGGAGCAATCAGGTCTTAAACTGGCGCCCATATGGGATGCTGGTATCACAGGCGGAGACTATATTGGCTATACCACAGCACTGGTACCTATTTTTTTTGTCACTTTGACAATAGCCATTCTACCTGGAGTTAAGAAATATGCAAAGAGGGGGCAGGTTTGTGGCCTACAAGTTAAAACATCAGTTGTAACACCTGCATCCCATATTGAAATGCCTGGATTTAAGTCTCGGCTCCACTGCTGATTCCAGCTTCCTGCTAATGCTCGCCCTAGGTGGGTCCCTGAAAACCACACAGGAGATCCTGATGGGGTCCTGGCTCCTGCCCTCAGCCCAGCCCCAGCTCATTGCAGGCACCTGGGGTGAGCCAGAAAGAGGAACCTGCTGTCTTCCTGCCTCTCAAATAAATAAATAAAACTAAAAATCATTAAAGAGAAGGAAAAAAAATAAAATCTAAAAATGGGCTAAGGACCTGAACAGACATTTCAAAAGAAGGAAATTGAAATGACTAATATACGAAAAAATGCTCAATATCACTAACATCAGGAAAATGTTATATAAATTCTAAGATATCTCTGTTTCTGAAAACTAAAGTGACACATTCCAGTCTGGTATTGATCGATTTTTCTGAAACTTACTCTTTTCGTCTGCCTACAACTTACTGGACACAAAAAAACAGAGATTAAAAAAAAAGCTAGATATAATCATTTACATATGTGCTAAGAATTAAATGGATTATGTGAATGGAATGGGAGAGGGAGTGGGAGATGGGAGGAGTGCGAGTGGGAGGGAAGTTATGGGAGGGGGAAGCCAATGTAATCCATAAACTGTACTTTGGAAATTTATATTTACTAAATAAAGGTTAAAAAAAAAAAAGAATTAAATGGGTTATAAAGTTCATGAAGATACAAAGATTTATTCATCTTACATCTACATCATTCAGAGTATCATCTGCCATGTGGCACTTTATCAGTGAATGTCTGATAAATCTGTTTACATGGGGTGCACATCATTCCATCACCGTCCCTTTTCCCAAAGAGAAATCTCTCAGATCGTTTTTCACAAAGATAGCAGCTTAATGTACTCAACTGATTTATATCCAAACAACAGTTACAGAATCTCTTTGGTGCAGCAATTTGGTGTCACGGTTAAAATACTGCTTGGGATGCCCATATCCTGTATCAGTATCTGGTTTAAGTCCTGGTTCCTCTTCCCGGCTAATGAGCACCCTGGGAGACAGCAGATGATGACTCAATTACCTGGTAATTACCTGGTTCCCTGCCACCCACGTGGGAAACCTAGATTGTACTCCAGGCTCCTGGCTTTGGCCTAGTCCAGTCCCAGCTGTTGTGGAAATTCAGGGAGTGAACCAGCGGATGGAAGATTTCGCTCTGCCTCTCAAATAAAATGAAAATTAAAAAACAAAACAAAACAAAACAAAAAAAAACTTCACTGAGAAATTAATTTGAAAATGTAAAGGGCAAAAATAGCCAAGATAATCTTCAAGAACAACAAAGTTGGCAAATCCATGTTACAAGTATCAGACATTATAAACTTGTAACAATTAACATAATGTAATTATAGCATAAGAAGAGACAAAAAGACCACTGCAACAGTACCACATTTATAAACAGACTTTATATATACATGATGGACACCTGATTTGTAACAAACATGGGACTGCAGAACTGTAGAAAGAAGACAATTTTTTTATTTTTGCTTTTTAAAAGATTTCTTATTTGAAAGGCAGAGTGACAGTGAGATATCTTCCATCCAGGTTTACTCCCTAAATGGCCACGATAGCAGGGCTAGGCCAAGCCAAAGCCAGGAGCCAGAAACTCCATCCAGGTCTACCACATGGGTGGCAGGGATCCAACTACTTTGGCCATCATCAGCTGCCTTCCCAGATGCATTAGAGAGAAGTTGGATCAGAAGTGGAACAGCAAGGACTCAAACTGGCACTCCAGTACAGGATTTGTCACAAGCAGCAGCTAAACTTGTTGTCCACAAGACCTGCCCCAGAGCAACTGCCCCAGACAGTCACTTGGCTATTCAATGTAAGAAAAATGGAATTTAATATACTACACAAAAATCAAATTACAAATCAGAAACATAACCTCACATCAAAGCTTCTACAAATAGCACAGAATATATTCATAAGTTTGGAGATTTTTAAGCAGGCCATAAAAAAGAAGGAAAATACTGATGAGTTGAACTAAATTAAAATGAAAAACTTCTGTTTACCAAAAGCCACCAATAAAAAGGAGAAAAGGTAATCCTCAGAGCAGAAGAAATTTGCATCACATAAAACCAAAGCACAGCTTGCATCCAAACACTAGAAAAAATTCCCACAAGTCAATAAAAAGGAAGCAGACAGGGGTAGGTGCTATGGTACAGTGGGTTTAGCCACCACTGAGGATGCCTGCATCCTATGTCAGAGCCCAGTTCAAGTTCCAGCTGTTCCATGCTTCTGATGCAGCCTCCTGCTAACATGCCTGGGAGGTGGCAAATAATAGCCCAAATACTTGGGCACCTGCCACTCACATGGGAGACCAGATGTTGTTACTGCTCCTGGCTTCAGCCTGGCTTAGCTCTGGCTATTGCAGGCATCTGGGGAGTGAACCAGCAGATGCAAGATCTCTCTGTGTTTCTCTCTTGATCACTTTGCCTTACAAATAAATAAATACACAATTTTTAAATGCGCAAATCTTGAACAGGTACTTCATAAAACAAATGGTAATAAACATATGCAAAAGGATCAGAAATGTAAAATAAAACCCTGGTAAGATACCATTACACACAAAACAGAATGGACAAATTTAAAAGATCAACTCTACCAAGAGTCAGTAAAGATACAGAAAAGGAACTGCCACACACTACTAATGAAAATAAAATCAGTATATCATTTTGGAAAAATGAGTAGAATTATCAAAGTTACACCCATCTTATTTTTTTAAAAAATTTCTTTATTCCTTTGAAAGGCAGAGTGAAAGAGAGAAATTGATCTTCCATCCTTTGGTTCACTCCCCAAATGTCCACAATAGCCAGGGCTGGGCCAGGCAGAAGCCAGGAGCCAGGAATTCCATCTAGGTCTCCCACAGGGGTAGCAGTGACTCAAATACTTGAGCTATCATTTGTTGCTTGCTGGAAGCAGATAGCCAGAACTTGAACCAGCAGCCTGATATGGGATGTGGGCATCCCAAGAAGCAGCTTAACCCTCTGCATCACAGTGACTGCCTCTATACTTATGACTCAGCAATACACTTCTAGATATTCAACAGAAATGTATGCTTATTTATATACACCAAAAGACATGTACAGAAACTGTTTATAGTAGGCACCATTCATAACACAAAAATTTCAAAGGGCTCAAGTGTATACTAACAGCAGAATGTAACTTAAACTGTTTCACATACATACAATGAAATACTATACACTAGTGAAAATTAACTAAAAGTACTGTTAAAAGGTACATACAGTAACATGTACATATCATACAAATAAGGGGCTAGCATTGTAGCGAAACAGAGCTGCCACCTGCAACACCAGTATCCCAAATGGGCACCGGATGAAGTCCTGGCTACTTTACTTCCAATCCAGCTCCCTGCAAATGGCCAGGGAAAAAGCAGCAAAACACGGCTCAAGAACTTGGTCCCCTGCACCCACAATGGGGATCTGGAAGAAGCTCCTGGCTTCAACCAGCCCTGACCATTGTAGCCATCTGGAGAGTGAACCAGTGGATGGAAGATCTCTGTGTCTCCCTCTCTGTAAGTCTTCCTTTCAAACAAATTTTTTTTTAAATCTTTAAAAAAAAATCTTACCAATATAACACTGAGCAAAAGAAGCGAGACATAAAAGAACACACAGTATATTCCATTTGAATCAAGTTTAAGATTAGGCCGGCACCACGGCTCACTAGGCTAATCCTCCGCCTTGCGGCACCAGCACACCGGGTTCTAGTCCCAGTTGGGGCGCCGGATTCTGTCCCAGTTGCCCCTCTTCCAGGCCAGAGTGGCCTGGGAGTGCAGTGGAGGATGGCCCAAGTACTTGGGCCCTGCACCCCATGGGAGACCAGAAGCACCTGGCTCCTACCATCGGATCAGCGCGGTGCGCTGGCCACAGTGCGCCAGCCGCGGCGGCCATTGGAGGGTGAACCAACGGCAAAGGAAGACCTTTCTCTCTGTCTCTCTCATTGTCCACTCTACCTGTCAAAAAAAAAAATTTTTTTTTTTTAAAAGTTTAAGATTAGACAAAACTGGGGTTGGCACTGTGGCATAGTAGGCAAAGCCTGTGCCTATGGCGCCAGCATCCCCTATGGTTGCCGGTTCATGTCCAGCTGCTCCTCTTCTGATCCAGCTCTCTGCTTATAGCCCGGGAAAACAGTGGAAGGTGGCCCAAGTGCTTGCCCTGCACCCACATAGGAGACCAGGAAGAAGCTCCTAGCTGCTGGCTTCGGATCAGCCCAGCTCCAGCCGTTGCAGCAATTGGGGAGTGAACCAGCAGATGGAAGACCTCTCTCTGTCTCTCCCTCTCTGTAACGCTCTCTCTCAAATAAGTAAGAAACAAAAAAATTTTTTTAATTACACAAAATTAACCTATGATATTAGAAAAAGCAGCAATCTGTTCATTTAGGATCTGTACATTTTCCGTATGTATTTTGCTCTTACACTTAGAGGTTGATGTTGTAGAACAGCAGGTCAAGCCGCCAACTCCTATGCTGGCATCCCCGATTAGAGTGCTGGTTCCAGTTCCAGCTACTCTGTTGCCGATCCTGCTCCATGCTAATGTGCCTGGGAAGGCAGTGGATGATGGTGCAAGTACTTGGGACCCTGCCACTCATGTGGAAGACTAGAATGAAATTTCTGGCTCCTGGCTTCATCCAGGCCCAGACCCTGTTAAGGCCATTAGGGAGTGAACCAGCAGATTGAAGATTCTCTCTCTCCCTCCCTCTCGTTCTCTTGCTGTCACTCTGCTTTCAAATAAATAAAAATAAATAAATATTTGCTAAAGATCTCCTTTATGCTGGTACCAATGTACCTTGTGTGGGGAGCAACTGGGAGCAACTCGGACTAGACTAAGTTACTGGAATTAAGACTTATTCTATGCATCTGCTCTCCCACAATATGGCGCTGGGAGAGGAGGAAACAGCTTCTACACAGCTGCCTCCAGTTCAACCAATAAACAGCAGGACCTGCTCCTGATTGGAGGAGAGCAGCGTACTCGGTGTGTGGGTAGCAGAGTTGGGATTGGTGGAAGAGGACTATAAAGGAGGAGAGAGACAACATGCACAAGGAACACCTGAGGAACATCTGAGCAGCCCCCGAGAGAGCCGGCTGGCGGTGTGCCGCTCCCCCGCGGAAGTGGGGAAAGTGGCTAGGGGGAACCCGGTAGCCAACCCAGGAAGAACCAGCAGCAAACCCGGGGAGGGCCGAGCAGACGAAAGAACAGCGCAGGGTCCTGTGTCGTTCCTCCGTGAAGAGGGGGAGCAACACCTTGTAAGTATCATTTCTGGTACATCTGACACAGTTTCTAGGTGTAACTTGTTATATAGTATCTGTATTCCTCAATCCTTCAGTATGTAACTTGCATCCCTAGTACTTAGCATAGTGCCTAAAGCACAGAAGGTATTCAATAAATGCTTTGGAACAACTAAAACTTACCACAACCTGCTACTGCACACATCATTAGTGTTGGGTTTAAAAAAAAAAATAGTATTGCAAAGTAGCTAAACTCAACAGTGTCACATATCTAAATTTGTATCCCAGCTGTGACACTTACTAGGTACATGAGTTTGAATAAGTCATGTTAACCACAATGTGCCTTAGTTTACTAATTTGGAAAAGGAGCATAGTGTGGGGAGCAACCGAGACTAGACTAAATTACTGGAACTGCTAGGACTAATTCTGTGCATCTGATCTCCCACCATATGGCGCTGAGAGGGAATAAACAACTTCCACACAGCTGCCTCACCAATTCGACTAACAAGCTGCAGGAGCTGATCCTGCTCCTGATTGGAGGAGAGCAGCGTGCTCAGAGCGTGGGGAGAGAACGCCAGCAGAGTTGGGATTGGTGGAAAAGGACTATAAAGGAGGAGAGAGAGAACATACAGCAGGAACATCTGAGCAACCCGAGAGAGCCGGCCGGCAGTGTGCCGCTCCTCCGCGGAAGCGGGGGAAGTGGCAGGGGTGCCACCCCTCCACCCCTCCGCGGCGGGGGGGCGGGGGAGCCGGCAGCAAACCCGGGAAGGACCAGGGAAAGAGAACAGCGCAGGGTCCAGTGTCGTTCCTCCGCGAGTCGGGGAGCGACAGCATAATTTCTATGTTACAGTATTATGAGGACTACATGAAGGAAAATTAACTTAATGAACGGGTTCAAGTTTCAAGTAACATAAGCTATCATCATTATTATAGATCCAGAAGGGACCATCTAATCCAATACTCAAGTTTTACCTTTGAGAAGGGAAAGCCTAGAAAGAAAGATTAAATAAACTACCCAATATCACTTAACAGCTGGCCTGTGACATAGCTTGGATGAATCCCTATATCTTAACAAAGTCCACGTCTCCTCCTATTACTAAACTATAGCTCTACATATATCACACAAAAATCCATTAATAGCCTGTGAAGATTGTTATGTGAAACTTAACAAGTACTGAAGACACATTCATGCAGACTGCACCCAAATGTAAAGTAAAATATACATATTAACATAAAGAGATGCTGAATTTTTCGCCTACTTGGATATAATAAAAATTTTTTTGATTGCTCAAAGAAAAGGGCCATCCTAGAAACCAGAAAAAACATTCTATAATTTCTCATTTCAATATCATAACAACAAAATAAATAAAAGTATATTATGACATACCTTTTCAAATTCAATAAAAGCATAACAGAGGGACTCTCCTGTCTTCCAATCCCGGATAACCTCACAACTGAAAGGAAATTTTTGAAAAGTGATTCAAAACAATAAGCATTCACTCTCACCTTTCAAAACTGAAGACCAAAACAAGCTAGTTATTAAAAGGCAAAGCTAGACTCAAAGAACTATATTTCTCAAAATTTCTTCAGTAGGGACTGGCATCGTGGCACCAGCATCCATATGGTGCCGGTTTGAGTTCCAGATGCTCCATTTCTGATCCAGTTCCCTTGCTAATGCACCTGGGAGAGCCAGAAGAAGTTCCTGGCTCTTGGCTTCAGATTGGCCCAGCTCTGGCCATTTGGGGAGTGAACCTGCAGATGGAAGACCTCTCTTTCTGTCTCTCCCTCTCTGTCTATAACTCTGCCTCTCAATTAATAAATCTTTAAAAAAGATTTTTTTAGTAAGTTTATGCTTTGAAATTTTTTATTTTTAGTGTAAACTAAGCTCAAACTTTGTAAGTACAACTGCCACACAGAATCTACCATGTAAAAACCCAGTGGGAGGGTCAATCAGCTGGAGTTCCAAGCCTCTGTTTCACATGTATCACATCTCCCCATGTATCACAGTTTCATTTACAAACATTTAAGAAAGGAAGTCCTACTGGCAGCACTGTGGTGTAGCACGTTAAGCCACCACTTGCAGTGCTGGCATCACGTATGGGCACTGTTCTAGCCTGGCTGCTCCATTTCCAATCCAGCTCCCTCCTAATGCACCTAGGAAAGCAGTGGAGGATGGCCCAAGTGCTTGGGCCACCACACCCACGTGGGAGACCTGGAAGAAGCTCTTGGCTCCTGGCTCCTGGCTTCGGTCTGGTCCAGCCCAGGCCATTGCAGCCATTTGGGGAGTAAATCAACAGATGGAAGACCCCTCTCCTTAGTCTCTCCCTCTCTCTCTCTCTAACTCCTTCAAATAATAAATAAAAGAAATCTTTAGGAAAAAAAAGTCCTAAACCTTTTACATCAATTACAAAATTTCTCACTGATATACCAGCTTTATAGACTTTTACATTAACAATGTAGTAAAAAGAAAAATCATGGAAAATTTAAATACATTTTGACATAGACTGCTAGGAAGAGTTTAACTGAGATAAATATTTTAAATATTAAAAAATATTAAAAAAAGTTATAGAATTATGGAATTAGGCAAACTATTCATTTCCTCTTTTAGGGTGAAAATGTGTTGGGAGTGGGATTAATTAACTTTAATAATTACTTTTAATTATTTAAATTATCCAATTACTTATCATACATTTTTCTTTCCTACCGTCCAGAGACTCAGATAAAAATTTAAGCAGTAAAAAACATTCACCCAGAGTTCACAGACTCACCAAAAACTACCATTAAAAATGATGAACTAATACTTAGTATTTCTAAATTTCTCCTTTACAAATTCTAGAGATTACCTTCTTATTGGCCCAAATCTTGAGAATATTATTTCCAGATCCTCATCTGTGGTCACTGGATTCAATTTACAAACAAAGAGCACATTTTCTGGAGGTTTAATATCTGCATCAGGTAGGTCTCCCACCTAAATTATAAACAGAGGACATAAATCAATTATTTTATTCAGTTACCACTCTAAATATCCTATCCAAGCCGTGATTTCCTTTAAAACATCTAAATTCCATTATAAATTTCAGGCTCAGGTAAGAGGTCTAAATAAGATTCAAAATCTGAAGCTGTTCCTAGTATTAACAATATGAACAGCTAACGTTTACCTAACCAATACTTTGTGTGAACCCTGTGCTTAATTCTTAAAACATCTTGCAATTTCCATTTTAAAGATAAGTGAAATTCAAAAGGTTAAACAAGTAATTTGCCCAAAGAAATACAGTGGGAAGCCTAAGAGCTTAGATTTGAAACCACAACTATTTGGTTTCAAAGCCCCAGTTTTATCCCCCCCCCCCTTTTTTTTTTAAGTATTTGTCATACAACTGTTTTTAAGAAAGAGTTTATGGCCGGCGCCACGGCTCAATAGGCTAATCCTATTGAGAACCTGGCACACTGGGTTCTAGTCCCAGTCGGGGTGCTGGATTCTGTCCCGGCTGCCCCTCTTCCAGGCCAGCTCTCTGCTGTGGCCCGGGAGTGCAGTGGAGGATGGCCCAAGTGCTTGGGCTCTGCACCCACATGGGAGACCAGGAGAAGCACCTGGCTCCTGGCTTCGGATCAGCGCAGTGCGCCGGGCGCGGCGGCCATTGGAGGGTGAACCAATGGCTAAAGGAAGACCTTTCTCTCTGTCTCTCTCTCTCACTGTCCACTCTGCCTGTGAAAGAAAGAAAGAAAGAAAGAAAGAAAGAGAGAGAGAGAGAGAGAGAGAGAGGGAGGGAGGCAGGGAGGGAGGGAGGAGGGAGGAGGGGGAGGGAGGGAGGGAGGAAGGAAGGAAGGAAGGAAGGAAGGAAGGAAGGAAGGAAAAGGGAAAGGGAAAGGGAAAGGGAAAGGGAAAGGGAAAGGGAAGAGTTTATATAAAGTATATCTAAGTGATGAAGCATGAGAATTAAAAACCATCCATGAAGCTATCACCTAGCTTAACTAAAATGTCCCTGATCCCATTACCCCTCTTCTTCCCTATGAAATAATGAACATCCTACTTTTTGGTTTTCCTTTGTGGCCACTCTTCATGTATTAAAGCAACCCTAACCATTATTGTGCCTGGTTTTGCTTTTGAAGTTTTGTTAAATATTATCATATGGAATCTAGCCTTTCACAATTTGCAATGCCTATTTCTTTCTACATTATTGTTCAATAGTGAACAACAACAATTACAATCCTGGGCAGTGTTCTAGCTTTTTGCTCTCACCCTCTCTTTTAGCTTTTTACTACAACCAAGTTGAAGTCAACCTCACACTCAACTACTGCACTGAACCGAGCAATATCACTTTCTACTGAAGTCCGGTGAAGGAGACAGTGAGACAGAACCACTGAGGACAGTTTCACTGTTGGAAAAGAAAATGATATTTCTCTGTATTTTCTGTTCAATTTTTCTACAAACCTAAAACCACTTCAAAATATATAGTTATGGAAAACAAAACATGAAGAAGGAATCCATATTGGCAATGAATGGAGGAAAAAGCAGTAAGAAAAGAGGGCTCCTCCTTACAGGCTGGTAGGGGTAGGAGAGGTAGAACTGGAAAATCACCACCTGGTACACACCAGAGTCAAGAATAGTTCAGGAAAGAATCATGTATGACTGAGAAACCTGGGTGGGAAGTTTGACAAGGGACAAGATATTTGAAAGCTCTCAAAAGTGTCTTGCCACAGACTGTTTACTGGTTGCTAGGGGAAAAACAGAAACTATGCATGGAGACATCAGGCAGTGGATTACCAAGAAATTAAAAATTTCATTTTCCAAAGAGGGTTAAATGGATATTGTATACCTCCAGATACAGTGGACATATCACTTGTGTACTGTTTCAGTTGTGGGTATATAACCTGAATTTAATCACACTTAAGTTGGAGAATATAAAATACATGATCAGTACTATTCAGAAATATGTCACAAAAAATAGACAGAGTTAAGAAATTTAAAAGGTTGATAATGAATTTTTTTTCCCCTCATCAGTTACCTATTTCTTTTGCCCAGCAGCTCAAAAGATCTTTCTTTTAAGTTTAGTGATTTTCTTAGAATTTTTCTTGGTGGTGTTTTTCTGGGTCAGTATTCTGACAGTGCACGCATTAAATTGTGTATGTTAATTTTTTTTTAATTCCAGTAAAGTTCTCTTGAATCACAGCATTTAATATTTGTTCATTCAAACTAGCGACACTAATACAAATTTTAAAATACACCACAAATCTGAATGCTTTAACGTAAAATGATAAAAATATAATTACATCCACTCATCCAAATATTTACTGATCTACTATAATGAGTATATTTTAGAATGCTCAATTTCCACCCAGGTTTGTTTCACCCTTCGATTACTATTCTACTGCCTTTTCTCAACAGGTTGCGTATAACAATCAACCCTTAATACACATAAAACTGAATCTAATAAACAACCTCAAAAAATGAGATTAATTTAATCCATTGAGGGGCCAGAGCCCGTAGCACAGCAGGTTAAAGCCCAGGCCTGCAGTGCCAGCATCTCATATGGGTGCCAGTTCAAGTCCTGGTTGCTTTACTTCCAATCCAGCTCCCCGCTAATGTGCCTGGATGAAGGAGCATGACCCAAATCCTTGGGCCCCTGCACCCACATGGGAGACCCAAAAGAAGCTGCTGGCTCCTGGCTTTGTATTGGCCCAGCTCCAGCCATTGGGGCCATTTGGAGAGTGAACCAGTGGATGGAAGATCTCTCCCTCCTTGTCTCTACCTCTTTCTATAACTCTTTCAAATAAATAAATCATTTTTTTAAAAAAGATACAGAATGAATCTTTAAAAAAAAAATCAACTGAAATCTTATCTATTTATAAGCTAGGCATCTATTCCGTGTTTTTTAAAAAGGTAGTTGGCATGGGGCTGGCACTGTGGCGCAGTGGGTTAATACCCTGGCCTGAAGCGTCAGCATCCCATATGGGCACCAGTTCAAGACCCCCTGCTCCACTTCCGATTCAGCTCTCTGCCATGGCCTGGGAAAGCAGTAGAAGATGGCCCAAGTCCTTGGGCCCCTGCACCCATGTGAGAAACCCAGAAGAAGCCTCTGGCTCCTGGCTTCGGATCGGCACTGCTCCAGCCATTACAGCCAACTGGGGAGTGAACCATCGGATCGAAGACAACTCTTTCTCTCTCTGCCTCTCCTCTCTCTGTGTAACTCTTTCAAATAAATAAATAAATATTTTTTAAAAATTTAATTTAAAAAAACTCCCTTTTAACTAATTTTTTTATATTGTAAGACTATCAAAGAGCCAGATATAAACTCATAATGACATGTATTAAATATATTGCAGGGGGCTGGCATTGTAGTGTAGTGTGTTAAGCTGCAGCCTGGGGCATAGGTATCTCAAATGAGCACCAGTTCAGGTACCTGCTGCTCCACTTCCAATCCAGATCTCTGCTAATGCACTTAGGAAAGCAGATGATGGCCCAACAACCTGGGCCCCTGCCACTCATGTGGGAGACCCAGAAGGAATTCCAGGCTTCCTGGCTTTGGCCTGGCCCAACCATGTCCACTGCAGCCATTTGGGGAGTGAACCGGAGGATGGAAGATATCTCTGTCTCCCCTTCTCTGTATCTTTAATTCTGCCTTTCAAATAAACAAATACTTAAGAGAAATTTTTAAAAATATAAATAAATAAATACATTGCCGATGTTTTTGAATGAAGATAATGATCCTACCATCTCTAGAAGAATAGCTTGAGTTTTGGCTTCTTTTTCTGCCTTTATTTCTTCTACTTCTTCAGCTGATCTTCCTTTAAAATCATCAATTTCTTCATCTGCTCCTATTCGGCCACTCTGTAAGGCAGACATTATGACACATAAATTTAATTAAAAATCGGAGAAACCTGGAAGACATCATGCTCTATTTTAGTTCCATCAAAAGTGTTACAAAAGCAGCTGAAACAAACCTACAAAACTCTGAAAACAATCTTAAATTAACTGTAATATTCGCCAGACTAAGCTTCAAATCTACTGAAAAATCAAAATGAACATTTAGAAAGAGAAAGATCTGTCACCCAACTCAGTGCTGAATGAGTAGATAAGTGTCTTGGAATGAAGCACTAATCACAACCAAAAAGATAAATTTGGCTTTCAAGAAACCTCATAAGCAGAATTTTTATCTTAAAATACCTGGGGAGAAACCTGCACTGTGCCACAGAAATTCCTGGGTGGTGCCTGGCTCCAGAGCATTCCCAGTTGAGAAGTGCTCTCATAAGATGACTGGAGGCCAGCACTGCAGCGCTGTGGCACAGTAGGGTAACCTCCCACCTGCCACCCTGCAATCCCACATGCGCACCAGTTAGAGTTCTGGCTGCTCCACTTTCCATCCAGATCCCTGCTAATAAGCCTGGGAAGGCAGTGGAAGATGGTCCAAGTCCTTGGCCCCGCACCTGTGTGAGACCTGAAGCAGCTCCTGGCTTCTAGCTTCAGATAGGCCCAGCTCTGGCCAACACAGCCATTTGGGAAATGAACCAGCAGATGGAAGACCTCTCTCTCTAACTATGCCTCTCATGTAAATAAATAAATCCTTTTTTACAAAAAGAATTATTTTATTTGGCTTTGGAGCTATTTTCCTAACTAGACCCAGGTGATAAGAGAAACATTTTTCATGTAATCTTCCAGACTTAAGGCTGTTTTGGTGGAACCGAAACTAAAGAAAGGAAAACATGGTGCTTGTTAGTGTCCCGGTTGTCCTCTTCCAATCCAGCTCTCTGCTATGGCCTGAGAAGACAGTGAAAGATGGCGCAAGTGCTTAGGCCCTTGCACTCATGTGAGAGACCTGGAAGAAGCTCCTGGCTTCAATCTGCCCAGCTCCAGCCTTTGTGGCCACTTGGGAAGAGAACCAGTGGATGGAAGATCTCTGTCTCTCCCTCTCTGTCTGTAACTTTGCCTCTCAAATAAATAAATAAAATCTTTAAAAAAATTTAAAAAAGGAAAAAATAGTGGTGGCAGTGGTGGTGGTGGTGGTGGTGGTAGTGCGTGGGATAGTACAGCAGTTAAGCCACTTGAGATGCCCACATTCCATATCAGAGTGTAAGGTTGGAGTCCTGGCTCCTCACTTCTGATCCAGCTCCTGGTAATTAGCACCCAGGGAGGTGGCAGATGTGGCTCAAGTACTTGGATCCCTGCCACTCACATGGGAGACCTAAATCTATGAAAATCATGAATATACATACACATTCTATCACAAGAAGGCTCTACTTACATCTAATTGTTCCCTTGTGGGTTCTGGTGATCGATCAGGAATTAATAAATCAGGAGGGTCATCAAATGGATCATCTAAAATCACTGTATGATTTATCCTTATAAAACAAATCCAAGTCAAATGTTTCATCTCATTTATTATTTATTTCAGAATCTATATCTTACTTTCATACATTATGACAGAAAACTTAGGTATCTCAAATGCCAAAAAAATCCGTATCACATAAGGCTATGTTAGTAGTCTATAGTATAGTTTCACAATGAATGTAATTGTTTTTCATTATTCAATATCATATTATTCTACATTATTGAGAAATATAAATGTAAAATCTTAGTACTTTTTCCTTATTTCTTAAAATGTATTTAAAAAGACTAAAGTATTAATAATTCTTCCCAACAGAAACAATTACAAATAATTGGCACTAGTGTAAAAATACAAAAAGTTATATTATGAAGATTTGTATCAGCTTGTTATTAAATTCCATTTTGGAATTATCCAGAAACCAGTCAAGGCTTATTAGTTTTATTCATTTCACTCAAGTCAAACATCACAGTATTAAAACACTCTAGTACATTCAAGATACTAACTGTAGCCATACCTGATATCTTGATATGGTACAAAGTCCTTGTCAACAAAGGTCTCATTAATTTTCTTAACTATGTCCATGCCTTCCGTCACCTCGCCAAACACTGTATGAACACCATCAAGGTAATCCAGATTTTCTCCTGTAGTAATAAGAAACTGTACAGAAAAACATGTAATGTAAAATAAAAAATATACAAACTATATATTTCAGTATCTATACGATTTTGGTAACTGAACAGACTGACAAAAAAATACATAAGACTACATTTACACATTACTGGAACTCAGTAAAATGTACAAAGCTTATGTATAAAATATAATAAAATATTAATACATACACAGATGTTTCCCTGATTGTTTAAAATAATTTGACAAACTATGGCTGTTTTTTCACATGCAAACAATGGAAAATAAAAGCACCTACCCTAATGGGGTTGTTGTGAGGATTAAACAAGGCAATGAAAGAAAGGTACTCAATACAATGTTTTAAAATAAGTAAAAATATCAAAAGGAAATGGGCCACAAAGGTGAAGAGTGACAATCAAGGGTGCTGGAATTGTAAGTAACATTTTTTTCTATGTACTTCTCTGTATTTTCTAAATTCCTCACACTGGGCATGGCTCATAATTTTTTAAAAAATATATATTTTATTATAAAAAACAATAATGTAATATTATTCTCCTAACAAATAACTTTGATTGAAATTCTCTCCTTCCTGGATAGTTTAAAGGATAACTATGTGGATTCCTTCAAGTCCTTCATTTCTAGGCAAAGCTCATCCTCTCACGCATCTGCTCACCTGAGATCCATGCTGATCACTGCCATTGTTCACCATGGACACAGTGCCTTTCTTCTTGTGTTTAATTCTTGGCACTTTTTCCGCCTCAAAAAAGCTTGCTTGATCACCGTACAGTTGACTGAAAATGTACATAAGGTTATAAACTATCAGTACTCTCAAATGCAAAAGTATTATTAACAAATAGCTATCAACTACCTCTGTATAGAAATGACACTGTGATTCAAAGCATTCCTCTTTTTTGCTACATTCACAGAACTTGAGAGAAAAAAATCTACACTTGAACCATATTTTAACAGGTGGGTTGTGTGTGTTTGTGTGTATGTGTGTGTGATGGATATTTGGTCTAGGGGTTAAGATGCTGGTTGGGAGGCCTAAGTCACGTATCAAGAATACCTGGGTTTGGCCAGCGCCGCGGCTCAATAGGTTAATCCTCTGCCTGTGGCACTGGCACCCCCGGTTCTAGTCCTGGTTGGGGCGCCGGATTCTGTCCCGGTTGCTCCTCTTCCAGGCCAGCTCTCTGCTGTGGCCCGGGAGTGCAGTGGAGGATGACCCAGATCCTCGGGCCATGCACCCGCATGGGAGACCAGGAGGAAGCACCTGGCTCCTGGCTTCGGATCGGCGCAGCGCGCCAGCTGTAGCAGCCACTTGGCAGGTGATCCAATGGAAAAAGGAAAACCTTCCTCCCTGACTCTCTCTCTCTAACTCTACCTGTCAAAATAATAATAAAATAATAATAATAATAAATACCTGGGCTCAATGCCTAGCTCCAGCTCCTGACTCCAACTTCCTGCTAATGGGTGGCAGAAATAAAGGCTGAAATAACTAGATCCCTGCCATACACACTGAAGACCTGGATTGAGTTCCTGGCTCCTGGATTAAGCCTGGCCCAGCTTCAGTCATTGTGGGTTCTTGGAGAGTAAACCAGAAAATAGGAGCTTGCTCTCGCTCTCTCTGAATAAATTAAAGTTGTAAGAATGTTTATTGAAAAAAGTAAAGAGCAGGAGTTGAGCCTAGCAGCTAAGACCCAGGTTAAGATACCCATACCCTACATCTAAGTATCTAAGTTCAACCCCCAGCTGTGGCTCCTGACTCCAGCTTCCTGCTAACACAGAACCTGTGAAGCAGCAGTGGTAACAAGTAACTGGGCTCCTGAATCCATGTGGGAGACCTAGAGAGAATTCTGAGCTCCTGACCTTGGCCAGGCCCAGTCCTGGCAATTGTGGGCATTTTGGGAGTAAACCAGTGCACAGATCTTTCTCCATCTGTCTGTCTCTGAAATAAATGAAAATAAAAATTAAGTATAAATTAAAAGAACTTACCCAAAAATAGACTCTCCTCCACGACCAGTGCCTGTAGGATCACCAGTTTGTATGATAAAATCCCTCTATAAAATAGAGGATTCTTTGTTATTTCAGTTTGCTAAAAAGTTCCAACAACAAAGGACATACATGACTAATATACCCCAACTTACCTGTACATTGTGAATAAGGCAATAATTATAATATTTTATTTTGCACAACTTCAAGAAATTCAAACAGGCTGAAATAAAATAAACAATAAATTATCACCATTCTCCACAAATAAACATTTAAACAAATAAAGGCACAGTGATTATAATTTCTAAATTACTGTTAAAAGAAACAAATGTCCAAAGCCATAAAAAAGGGAGGTATGCCTAGAAAAAGGCTACATATTTTACATTTTCATTTTATTTCCCTTTTCTCAGGATTTTTTGGCTTCTGAACTAACACAGGAAATTGACATTTATCTAGCAAAAATAATCATTTATTGATGGATTAGTTTTGCGAAAAGACAATTACAGAAGACACAACGATAGAAAAGGACCTAGTAGAATATATCAAAGTGGGTACAGATTAAACCAAATATTTAGAGACCTTTTTTTACGACTGAAGAACACCTCACAAAAACCCACACACTTATCATGAACAAGCTTTCGCATAGAAATTCACTCATTTTTGCAACAAACACTGACCATCTACCTTCTAAATACTTGGCACTGCCAGCACAAACGCCATTTAAACCATGCTCACTGACCTCAACAAGTTCATGGCCAAGCTGTGGAAAGACATGCTAATAAGTCCTTAAGGCACCAAGACACAGAATTAGATACACGTGGCAGTCCCTGCCCTCAAGGAACTTACATTAAAGAGGAGTCCTTACATCACCAAGCAGTTATAATACTGGGCGTATCTAATAATACCATTTGTGCCACTCAAATAGCAAAATGGCAAAAGCTGGTTTTAAAAAAATGCTACAAGTTAAAGAGAGACTTTCTGGCTGAGGAAATTAGAAGACCCAATGGAAGCTTAAAGCAAGAATTGAAACTGATTGTATCAAAACATCACATGACACTCCATAAATACTTTCATATGTCAATTTTTACATGCAATTAAAAAATGATTGGCAGATAAGAAAGTTAGTGTTCCACACTGGGAGACATAAAATTCAAGCCTGAAAGAGAAAATTTATATTGGATAGGTAAGAGGAAGGGGAGGGTCCAAAAGATCAGTCTAAGTTCTGTAATAACCTCGTATCAGAGTAATGGAGAGTGAAAACACAGGGAAAAGGGGGCCGACCTGTTGGAGAATCTTGAATATTAGGTTTCAGTTGTGTTTCTTGCATGCACTTCTGGGCTTTCTGTTAAACAGAGAGTAGTCCTTCTATTAGAAATCAAAATAGGCCGGCGCCGCGGCTCACTAGGCTAATCCTCCTCCTTGCGGCGCCGGCACACCGGGTTCTAGTCCCGGTCGGGGCGCCGGATTCTGTCCCGGTTGCTCCTCTTCCAGGCCAGCTCTCTGCTGTGGCCAGGGAGTGCAGTGGAGGATGGCCCAAGTGCTTGGGCCCTGCACCCCATGGGAGACCAGGAAAAGCACCTGGCTCCTGGCTCCTGCCATCGGATCAGCGCAGTGCGCCGGCCGCAGCGGCCATTGGAGAGTGAACCAACGGCAAAGGAAGACCTTTCTCTGTCTCTCTCTCTCACTGTCCACTCTGCCTGTCAAAAAAAAAAAAAATAGAGGCTGGCACTGTGGCACACTGCGTTAAGCTGCCATCTGCAGCACCAGCATCCCATCTGGGCGCCAGTTCGTGTCCTGGGTTCTCCACTTCTGATCTAGCTCCCTGCTAATGTGCCTGAAAAAGCAGCAGAGGATGGCCCAAATGCTTGTGGTCCTGCAGCCACTTGGGAGACCAAATGCTCCTGGCTCCTGGCTTCCGATCAGCGCAGTTGCGGCCATCTGGGGAATGAACCAGTGGATGGAAGACCTCTCTGTCTCTAGCTCTCTCTGTAATTCTTTCAAATAAATAAAATAAATCAGAAAAAAAAAATCAAAGGAAAATTCAAATAATACCAAGGAATGATTGCTAATTTTTTAAGGTATGACAATGATTTGTGTTTCTGGGCTTTTTTTAAGTCCTTACCTTTTTAAAAAAAAATATTCATGGGGCCAGTGCTGTGGCGTAGGAGGTAAAGCTGCCGCCTGCAGTGCCGGCATCCCATATGGGCGCCAGTTCGAGTCCCAGCTGCTCCATTTCCAATCCAGCGCTCTGCTATGGCCTGGGAAAGCAGTAGAAGATGGCCCAAGTCCTTGGGCCCCTGTACCCATGTGGGAAGACCCAGAGGAAGCTCCTGGCTTCTGGCCTCAGATCGGCGCTGCTCCAGCTGTTGCAGCCAATTGGGAGTTAACCAGCAGATGGAAGACCTCTCTCTTTCTCTCTCGTTGCCTCTCCTTCTCTCTGTGTAACTCTTTCAAATAAATAAATAAATCTTTTAAAAAACATTCATTTATTTATGTAAAAGGCAGGCAACAGAGCAAGAGTACAAGACAAAGAGGGAGATCTTTCATCCAGTGGTTCACTTCCCAAATGGCTGAGGCTGGGCCAGGCCAAAGCTGGAGATAAGTACTCCATCCAGGTCTCCTACATGGATGGCAGGGGTCTAAGCACTTGGGCCATCCTCTGCTGCTTTCCCAGGCACACTTGCAGAAAGCTGGATCAGAAAGTAGAGTAGCTGGGACTCAAACTAGCACTCCAATATGGGATGCGGGCATCAGAAGTGGTGGCTTAACCCTCTGCACCACAATACCAGTCCCATGAAATCCTCATCTTTAAAGTAACTACATTAAATAATTTAAATAATAATTCCAGTGAAGGTCGGGGTATTATAAATAAGATGGATATGTGTTGACAACTGTTAAACGAAGCTGGACGTAGATGCATGAGGATTTATTGATTGGATTCTCTCTGCTTCTGTTTCACATTTTCTTTATAAAGCAACAAACAAAAAGAAAGGAAAAGAGGTAGGCCTGTAAAAACTTACAATATGTTGATAAGGAGGTACACATATTCGTAAGTAGATGTCCAATCATATGCTTACAAATATATATGCAATAAGTGGACTTGGTTTCGTTGTTCCAGGTTTGGTTTTTTGCAGAACCACTGACTGTTTAATTAGGTGGAATAACACTACCTCCCATTTAGTTCCTTACAACTTTAGAGAAAGAGATCCACTCATTTTACTAGGTGCTGCTCTAGATGGAGAATGGGTCAAGGGAGTGTCAAAAGATCTCAAAGGAAAATAAAAACAAAAGATAAAAAATAAAATTCCCCATAACATCCTTTGAACCCTTGGATATAGCCATCCATAAAGCCCAGATTACCTTGTACCCATGAGACAATCAATCACTTATTTGTTTAAGCCAATCGAATAGGGTTTCTACCACTTGCAGAGTCACAACTCACATAACACGCTGATACGCATCAATCAATGTAACAGATCCCTGCGTGTGCCCTCAGAGTGGCAGGCATTGTTCCAGCTACTCAAGATAGAGACAGTTAAGGTACAGTCTCTTCTCTCACGGGAGTTTACATTCTTGAGACAAGACTTGCAAATAAATCAGGATAACAGGTAAATGTCACAATAAAGTACATGCCATGTGATGTACAGAAAAGACTTGAGACCCTTAGGAAACAGCGCTAACTCTGCTTAGGGACGGAGGAAACCGCGCTTGAGCTGAGGTCTGAATCGTGAGTAGGGAGTCTGGGGGAAGGATAACAGAAGACAAGGGCCACTTTCGGAAGCTGGTGGGGTGAGGATGTGGGAGGCACGCGCACAGCAGCAGGATGCACGCCCTGCACAGAGCTGCAGCTGGACTCCTGCTCGATAGACTGCGTGCCAAGGGGGCAGCCCCTGACTGCTGACTACTCTCGTCTTCCGTCTCCCCACCCTGCTGCCTATTATCTTCCCCAAACACGCTTCAACCGTGCTCTGAAACCCGTCAAAGACTCTGGTCATCGGCAGCGCCCACAACAATCAGACTGCCACTGCACGTCCCTTAGCCTTCCTTCCAGCCCTATCGACCTGCCGGCCGTTTCCAGAAAATTCCGAGCAGACGGCTAAGAAACAGCCCACTCCCCCCGCTCTGTGAAAGCGCGCCAGCACGAGTGTCCCACCGGCTGCTCGCTTCGCTTCTGCCCACCCCCGCCCGGGGAAAATTTACTCGCTCTGCCGGTTTCCACGGCAACCTACACAGTCCACCACAACACTTCCAAAGTTAAAATGGGCTCCCGCGTCGATCTCCCCTAACGGAAAATCAGGAGCCGCCTAGCCCCTGGCAGCCTCTTTCCACACCTGCGGATGTCCACACTCGCCGCGCCCAGCACGTCCCACCTGCTTCACCCAACTCCACCGATGACACCACCGAGCACCATTTGTGGTTGTTCCTCTCACGAGTGAAGAAAGCCACGAAAGCTACGGCACGGCACAGGCAGCCCGCGTCCCACGACCGCACGCAGCCCTCGAGGCCGACCACCCGACCGGCGGCCGACACCACCTACCCGGCCCAAGCCGAATCTCCTCACTAAAACTTTTCTAACCAAAGCCCGCTAACGACATCAGCGCGGTCGCGGGCACCAGCAGCCCCGCCGCTGGAGCCGACTCCTGCCCGGGACTGTGCTGAGAAGGGAAAGCAGGCAAAGCGAGCGCAGCGGGGCGCGGGCCTCACCGCGCGGCCGCTCCTCGGTGTACAGGTCGATGACGACGTCGCCCAGAGTGGTCTCCAGCAGAACCGCCATGGCGCCGGCTCCTCCTCTGCAACCAGCCGACGGGGGCGGTGACAGGCGCAGCCCGTCGCCTTCTGCGCCACGCGTCACTCGCGGCGCGACGCGCGCTTGCGTCACGCCGCGGACGCCACCGCCCCCTTCCGGGCAGCTGCTTCCGGCCGGCCGGCCCCGCCCCGGCCCCGCCCCGGCCCCGCCCCGGCCCCGCCCCGGCCCCGCCCCGGCCCCGCCCCGGCCCCGCCTCTGACGTGCGGTCCTCTTGGGTCCTGCCTCTTTGCCCGGCCGTTTTTGAAAGTGCTTGTCGGCCAGTGGCGACTTCCCGGGAAGCCTGTTGCTCAGAAGGAAGTCTTCGTAGGGTCGGTGCCCCTTTTCCGCCGCCCAGAGGGATCCGCCTTTCGCGTCCACCTGAGGGAAAATGTCACACCTTGAGCTCCAGGGAGGCTGTTTAGCAGGGACTGTGCCTATTACAGGGTCGCGCCTGAGCGAGTGCTGACAAGCGCGCCACACACTGATGAATTTGGGAGTGGGCCCATGCCCCAAAGAACTCTAAACCCCGAGGCTCAAAGCAACAGGGTTTATAAAGGCAAAAACCCAAGGAAGGGAGGGGAATACATGGCTCAAGCTAACCCAAAGCCTATGCAAAACTAATAATTCATTATAATTGAACAATACCAGTTACAATCCTATTTCCTTTGGACCTTCCTCTTTTGAAAAATGGCAGGCAGAGTGGCTAGTGAGAGAGAGAGAGAGAGAGACAGGTCTTCCTTTGCCATTGGTTCACCCTCCAATGGCCGCCGCGGCTGGTGCGCTGCGGCCGGCACATCGCACTGATCCGATGGCAGGAGCCAGGTACTTATCCTGGTCTCCCATGGGTGCAGGGCCCAAGCACTTGGGCCATCCTCCACTGCACTCCCTGGCCACAGCAGAGAGCTGGCCTGGAAGAGGGGCAACCGAGACAGAATCCGGCGTCCTGACCCGGACTGGAACCTGGTGTGCCGGTGCCACTAGGCAGAGGATTAGCCTATTGAGCCATGGCGCCGGCCTCTACTTAATGTAACTTTACACATGGTCATAACATCCGATAACTTCCAATAACTTCTTATCTGACTACAAACCAGAGGGTTTTTTTTTTTTTTTTTAAGATTGGTTGATTTATTTGAAAGGCAGGCACAGAGAGGCAGAGGCAGAGAGAGAGAGAGGTCTTCTATTCACTGGTTCACTCCTCAGCTGCCTCTTCTGGGCCTCCCACATGGACACAGGGGCCCAAGAAGTTGGGCCATCTTCCACTGCTTTCCCAGGGCATAGCAGAGAGCTGGATCGGAAAAGGAGCAGCGGGAATAGAGCAGGTGCCCATATGGGATGCCAGCACTGCAGGCAGTGGCTTTACCCACTACGCCACAGCACCGGCCCCCAAACCAGAGTTTTTACAGTGGTTTACAAGGCTTCCCCTGAGCCTCTCCTCCCCGACCTTCCCTTGAAGCCACATCCATGTCGAACTTCTGCCTTTTCCCTTGCTCTCCCTCTAGTTAAGCCTCTTCCAGTTATTGGTTCTTCACCTCCATAAGATGCTTTGCCCGGGTGTCATCCTCTCCGTGAGGACTTCCCTGGCCACCGTAATTTAAATTAGCCCCACACGTGTGCAGTTCTAGCTTTCTCCACACAGCTTTTTCTCCACAGTAATTTCATTTAACATGCTAATTAAAATTTATTTACATATGTATTTATTGTCGCTAGGATGTATACTCTGGAAGGACAGTTAATTGTATTTGCTGCTGTATCCCTAGTGCCTGTGACAGCCTTGCACATAGGTGAATATGTATTGACTGAATTAGTATTGGTAATTGGGGGCTGGCACTGTGGCGTAAGGGGTAAAGCGGTTTGAATCCTGGCTACTCCACCTCCGATCCAGTTCTCTGCTATGGTCTGGGAAAGCTATGGAAGATGGCCCAAGTCCTTGGGCCCCTGTGTCCACATGGGAGACCCAGAAGAAGCTCCTGGCTCCTGGCTTCAGATCAGCCCAGCTCTGACCATTGCAGCCATTTGGGGATTGAAGCAGTGGATGGAAGATCTCTCTCTTTCTCTCTGCTTCTGCTTCTCTTTTAAAAATCTAATGGCAATTGAAGAAATGCAAATGAAAACAACAAATTAACCTACCACAGTTCCTGGATGCTGGTAGAAGATGTAAGACTCACAGATCAGAGACGCAGGATAATTTTTTATTCACAGCATGGCTAGCTTCATGAGTATCAAAATATTTGCACCAGTTCCATTTCCCTAAGTTCCATGGAAGGTCCATGGAGGGTCCAGATGATATCTACACAGTCAGCTACACTGCTCCACTCCCAATCCAGCGCCCTGCTAATGCACCTGGGAAGGCAGTGGAAAATGGCCCAAGTAGCTGGGCCCCTCCCTGCTACCCATGTGAGAGACCAGGATGGAGTTCTTGCCTGCTACCTTCAAACTGGCCTAGCCGTGGCTGTTGTGGCCATTTGGAGAGTGAACCAATGGATAGAAGATTTTCTCTCTCTGTCTCTCCCTCTCTCTCCTTTCTCTCTCACTCTTCCTTTCAAATAAATAAATCTTTAAAAAGGAAATGAAACACTGATTTTTCCTTTCTATTTATTTATTTGAGGAGAGAGAAACAGAGACAGACAGATCTTCCATCTGCTGCTTCACAGCCCAGATAGCTGCAGCTGGGCCAGGCTGAAGCCAGGAGCTGGGAGCTTAATCCAGGTCTCCCATGTAGGTGGCTGGGACCCACCCTGCCGCCCCCAGGTCTGCATCTGCCTAAGCTAAAATCAGAAGCCGAAGCTGGGAAACGGACTCTGGCACTCTGAGTGGGGACACCAGTGTCTTAGCCACTAGGCTAAACCACTGCCTCTAATTTAATATTTTCCCATTGTGATCTTGAACTATAAGAATAGGGATGGTATGAAAGAGTAATATTTTATAACATTCTGTATACCTTTAAAAGAAGTATAGATTCAAGAAAAAAAGAGGATTTGGAAAAACCGAATACTTTCTAAAGAATAATTTGATCTATTAAAGTGACATGATGAATGTGAAAAATAATTTCACATATGGAGTAATTCTTTAACAAAGATGTGTGTTATTGCCAGATTCTTTTGGAGAATTCAGACCCATGAATGGATATCTTAAACCCAAGACAGAATACTTTATACATTATTCAGTGTATAATTTACAGAATCTCTAAATTAGGCTATATTCAGTTATTTCACTAAATATAAAATGTTCTACTTCCATAAGAAAAATATTTTGTGATAATTTTACAGTTTATGCTTATTTCTATCTTCCTACAATTTTAATTTCTTTTTTTAAAAAATATTTATTTATTTATTTGAAAGAGTTACACAGAGAGAGAGAGAAGGAGAGGCAGGGAGAAAGAGAGAAAAGTCTTCCATCCACTGGTTCACTCTCTAGTTAGCCGCAATGGCCAGAGCTTGCTGATCCAAAGCCAGGAGCCAGGAGCTTCCCCCGGTTCTCCCATGTGGGTGCAGGGGCCCAAGTGGAGCAGCCGGGTCTCCAACTGGCGCCCATATGGGATGCCAGCACTGCAGGCGGTGGCTTTACCTGCTATGCCACAGTGCCAGCCCCACACTTTGAATTTCTAATGATATAAGTATTTACGTAGATTTAAGTGGTTTGTATGAATACAGCAGTTACATAGGTAAAATGAAGTGTTTTGTCCTTCACAATTGTACTACATGTAAATACTAAAGTAGATTAGTATAGACAGCAGGATTAGCAAATATTTATTGTTTTCCAGATGTCAGCATCACCAGCTATCATGACTAATTTATCATATATTGACATGTTGCATTAAATGAGCTCTCTTTTACCTAACTGTATATACAACAGAAACGTGTTTGTGCTCCTATGTTAACATATGGTGCAGAGGTATTAACATGTTGACACGTGCAGTATCATGGCCTTTATTTACCTCATGCCCTTCTTCCTGCCTTCTCCTCTTGCACCTTGAGGAATCCCAGTTTGGTGCACTAGGATTCGCCCTTGCACTGCTGTCATCGCTTTGGGACAGTGGCAGGTGTAGAGGCTTAAGAAAATATTTTGGTTGGCTGGAAAGCAAAATATTCTGCCCTTTCTGGAAAAAAAAATTTCTTCTTAAGGAAACTTTAATTTTTATTATTTTACTTTATGATTTACTTGAAAAGAAGAGATACAGAAATAAAGAGAGATCTCCCACTCATTGATTCATGCCTCAATGTGTATAACAGTGAAGGCTGGGCCAGGCCTAAGCCAGGAGCCCAGAATACGATTCAAGTCTCCCACATGGGTGCCAGGGATCCAAATATACTTGAACCATCACCTGCTACCTTCCAGGGTGTGCATTAGCAGGAAGCCGGAATTGAGAGTGCAGCTGGCACTTGGACCTAACACTTTGACATGGAATGCAGACCCCCCACGTTGTGGCTTAACTGCAGTGCCAAACAATGGCTGCAAGAAATAATATTGGCCTGTGTCTTCATCTGTCTGTTCTTGTCAAATATGTTAACTGTCCTTTCTTTGTTGTGATTATTCTGTCTTTTACCTTTTCAGTACATACTGGTATTGTGCTTTAAAATATGGATATATTATAATTATTCTGGTATTGACGCCAACAGATCAGGAGACGCTTCCCACTGAAAAAGTAGTTTGTTACAGTTTCTGGGAGGAGAGGGCACCACACACACACACACACACACACACACATACTGTCACTTGAAGAAGCATGGAGGTTAGTGAGGAGGCAGAGGCAGCGAGGTGAGACCACGAGCAGGAGCCATTGTTGTGGTTTCCAAGGGAAAGCAAAGTTAGGCAGAGTAAGGCAGTTCAGGACTGGCTGGCTGGCTGGCATAATTCCAGCAGGCTCTGGGATATTGGAACAGTCTCCAGTTGTCTGGTACCTGGCCCTGGTGTGATCAGGGAAGAGGGATACTGGTGCCTGGAACAGAGTCCGGTAACGGAGGTGGTTCAGAACAGGGACCCTGTGTCAGTGCAGTTGTGTAGGAAAGTGCACCCCCAGGGAATTAGCTGGATTGGAAGTGGGGGTGCAGTCTCACCATGGTCAGCATAGCATCAAAAACTCAGAAAATGGAAGGAAGGGATGGGTGTTTGGAGCAGCAGTTAAGCCACTGCTTAGGACACCTGCACCCCCTAAGGGAGTCCTTGGGTTCAAGGCCTAGCTCTGTGCCTGCTTCCAGCTTCCTGCTACTGCAGACCCTAAGAGGCAGTAGGTGATAGCCCAAGGAATTGGGGCCCTGTCACTCATGTGGGAAACCTGGATTGAATTCCCAGTTTTTGGATTTGGCCTGGCCCAGCCTTTGCTGTTCAGGTA